GACTTGAGTTAAAGTGATATAATCAGCAATAACTATACCATCAAACTCAGCCTAGAAAATGACAAACTGAAGTAAGTATTAATTTGTCACCTTTACTATATGAACTAGATTTGTGCTTATATAGCAAAATCTAAAATGAACCAGAAAATTTTATGCAGTAAATAAGCCCTCAATATAGCAATTTTACCCTCGGGGAGAAAATTTAAAAGGGGCTAATGGGTACAAAACAGAAATAGAAGAGATTAGAAAGAAGACCAGAGGACAAAGGAAGATCATAAAAGCTTCGGGAAATTGGTGAAGAAGATAAAGAGAAGAAAGAAATAAAAAACAAGAACACAGCAACAACAAAAACTGGAAACGATGTTGTCACTCATAAAACGAGCAATCAAGAAAAAACAAACAAAAAAAACAGCAAGAAGAGAGAAAGAAAATAAGAAACAGTTCCACTTCAAGGTGTGTCTCTGCTGTCACTGACACACAACATGGCAGACAGAGGCCAGATCCGATTTGATTATTCCCAGCAAACCAGTTGTAGCTTTTCAGTGGAATACTGGGTAATCCCTGCAAACCCACACCTTTAATTCACTAAATTTCAGGCTGGTTTCTGTTCATGAGGCTGTTCATGAGGATGTCTGACCCCTAGTAACTCACCAGCCACTGCAGTCCGTTGTATCTGCTGCTCTGTTCCACTGGTGCATTTCTTTGTGGAGGCCTCTGGGGTCACCAGTAATAACTGTGTGTCTGAAGTTTCCAGCCACACCTCCCATGAAATGAGTCCAGGCTCACAGAGAAAGCAGCACCTAACACTGCCGCCTTCTTTGTTGAAGTCTCTTTCTTTGCTTTCCCTATGGGCCTCAGTTCTTGCTTTCGATCCTTCCTGGGTCCTGAAGACCCACCACCCTCTTTCTTCTCCTCATGTTGCTATATTTCAGTGTGAAGCTCTTTCTCTGTTGCTCACCACTCTGCCATCTTCACAGAAGTAAGAATTCCATTTTCAAAATAGCATCAAAAAGAATAAAATACTTAGAAATGTCTTTAACCAAAGAAATAAGAAACTTGCATAATGAAAACTGTAAAACATGGCTAGAATAAATTGAACCCCTAATAAATGGAAGGCTATCACATACCTATGGATTAGAAGACTGTATTGTTGAGATGGCGGTGTATTACAAATTGCTCTACAGATCCTGTAAAAACTAACAGAATTCTTTCTTACTGCCTTTTTTTTTTGCAGAAATGATAAACTAATCTGAAAAGTCACATGAAAACTGAAGTGATACAAAATAATCTCTAGAAAAAAGAAAGTTTAAAGACCCAATTTCAAAACTATCATGATAAAACTAGTATGATGTTTTACATAAAGACTTATAAACATAGAGATAAAAGAAATGGAATTGAGAGTTAAAAATAAACCCATACAACTACGGTAAATTTATTTTTTCCATTGGGACCAGGAAATTCAAAGGAAAAAAACAATCATTTAAGGAATGGCTATTGAACAACTGAAAATCTATAAAAGAATTTATCTCACACTAAATATAAAAATACAAAATGAATCAAATATGTAGAGGTTTTTAATGTTCTTGCAAAAAAACATAAGGGAAAATCTCATTACTTGAATTTGGTGGTGAATTCTTAAAAATGACTCATAGTATACATTCAGCAAAGTAAAAAATTAGATAAATTCGATTACATCAACATTAAAAACTTTTGTCCTTTAAAAAACATGATTAAGCAAGTAGTAGAACCTATAGAAGAGAGAAAATATTTGTGATTCACATGTATGGTAAGCATTTAGTGTCTGAATACAAAGTAGATACACAGAAATGTGTATACACTTTAATAGTTTTCCATACTAATAAATGTCTAGAAGCTAATAGCTGTCACTGTGAGCACCTCTGTAATTGTAGAGGCTGAAGATAACTTGTATTTATCTCATAATGTCTCAATAAATTTAGTGCTAAATATTTATACATTCTTTTATTGATGTATATGTTTTTGTCACTTTTATGTAAAAATGCTTATAAATCTACAATAAAAAGAAAACTTAATTTTTAAAATAGACTAGGATTTGAGTTACTTCTCTGAAGTGCATGAAAGTAACCAATGAGCACATGAAAAGATGTTAAATACCCTTAGTCACTACAACTGCAAATTAAAACTATAATGAGATACTGTTTTGTACCTACTAGTATGGGAATAATTATTTTGGAAGGAGAACAGTGAACTGGCATGGATGGGTTCCTTTGGAGAAATTGGAATTGTCATACATTGGTGAAATGGTGCCACCATTTTGGGAAAAAGTTTAGCAGTTCCTCAAAAAGTTAAGCAGAAAAGTTATGACCTAGCAGTTCTAAATATCTGTTCATACATCAGAGAAATAAAAAATTAAGTCATGTATACCTATGTTCAACACAGAATTACTCATAATAGCACAAATGTAAAAACACATGTTCTTCAGCAGATGAATTGTTAAAATTTGATATATCTACTTATTGCAATATTCAACCATAAACTGAAATACAGTATAAATACATATATTAACACTACAACATGGTTTAGCTTTTCAAAACATCAGGCTAAATAGAAGACAGACACAAAAGACCACATACTACATGAGTCCATTTTTATGAAATCCTAAAGTCAGTAATTTCATAGAGACAGTAGCTAAGCAGTTGTCAGAAGCCAAGGGAAGGGAAGAATGCAGAGTAACTGCACATAGATAAGGTATTTCTAAGGAGACGATAAAAATATTTTGAAATCCAGTAATGCTAATGTCTGAAGAACTTTGCTAACGTTATCAAAATTACTGCATTATAAATATGTGGTGACTTTTATGATACTTACATTTCAATTTTAGAAGTCAGTATCAAGCTTTTCAGCTAGTTTGACTGGTGGAGATACAAAACAACATTCTGAAATGAGATTAAATACATTGGCATGGGATGTGATTTTTTTTCAGAAACAAAGTATCAACAATTATTATCTATGACCAGAATTTTTTTGAGTTGTCTTCTAGAACTGGAAATCTATCTAATCTGAAGTAAGAACCAGTATGTAATTTCAGATTTAGTCTTTTAACTCTTCAAAAACAAAAAGTTAGTTAAAAGATTAAATAAAAAATCTTCCATGGTAACCAGTTTAGAAGCCAAAAGAAATTTTTTTGATTCATTTCCTGGTCACAGTGGGAAGGAACAGGACAGAAAGCAAAAGTGTATTGTGCCATGGAGAGGGAGGTAACATTCTTGAAACATAAAAAATCTTTTCCATATTATTTTTCCTGAAATAAGTAGATATTTATAAAATATCTATCCCCTCTGGACAGCTGAGCATGGTTGGGCTAGATACTCCTGCACCATAACAGTCTTCCCTCAGGACCCAGTGTGTGGCAGGAATATTTCCATTTCCACGTGTCAAAAAAGGAAAATGGTGGGCAAATTTGTCATTGCCCCTCTTAAAAGGTGTGGTCACTTTTCAGACATCTGTACATTCCTCAGTGTGCCTAGCTTGTAAACAGAGCAGTCATTTTGGTATCATTTCAGAGTGTTCTTGGACAAAGTACTTGGTCATTATATTCTTGTTTTCTAAGGATTCATAAGTCAAATTTTAAACAATCCAAACTGAAATTTTGTTGGATTGATGTCAAACTTTATTAAACTATAAATTTTAGAAACAAGCTTTTGCCTTGTTAAAAATGTTCTCTTAACTCTTAACGACATCTCTGTACTTACTAGTAAGTACTAAAAGTTATGAGAAGTGATACTGATTTCACTTCTTTAGATTTTTCTGCAACTGAAACTAGACTTAAAAGAGTCTTCCAGTACCCTGATGTTTCTGTGGCTTTACTGGGATTTGTAAAAATGTACAAGTGATTATGTCTGAGCTACTTGAATCAGAAAGAAAATACATAGAAAAGATTACAGTTGAGATGGTCTGCACAGATATGATGGTTGTACATGTACATCCCTTGGTTTATGCTGTCTGGAGTATATCTTCCCATTTGAAATGAGAATGTGTTTTGCTTTAGATATAATTTTTAACTTGCTTTATTTTGATGGATACTTTACTATTTGAATTACAACCAAGTGTCATTTGTGGATTTGTTTCTGTCTTTGCCAGGATATATATTTGTTACACATTTGCTAGAAAATAAACATTAATTAAATAGTTATATATTTTACATATTGAATTTAGGACTACTAAGATGTTTTTCCATATGTGGGCACATTGGCTGTATATTTAAAAGAGTAATACTTTGTATCTTTAAGATCAGTTAAGATAGCTTTTCAGGTTTAATAATAATTTTGTTTCACACATTGGTTCATAGGTTCACCATTTTTACAAAGTTACCTTGTCTCATCTTTAGTTTGAGTGTCCATTCTGGATTGATTCTTACATTTTAGCGAAGCTCAGACTTAAAAGTATTCACTAATACTGCTTTCACATCTTACAAATAAGACACAGCAAGGCACACAGAAACTTGTTTTTTCTAGTAAAGTTCTGCTACAGTCCCACAGAGAGCATGACTTTCCCCAATCCAAACTCCACACTAAAACTTGTACTTGCTGAGGTGGGTTGTGGGTTTCTCTGAATTGCATTCTAGGGCTCCTCAGTCACATTTGAACTCACTTCTCTGTTTTATTTAAAAATCATGTCATCATGTTTTTTACAATGTTCTTAATGCCTGAAGTAATATAATACTTATGTTTTTCTTACCTTTTGTTATTTCTGTTTAATATTTTCCTTACAAAAATGTCTTAGAAATGAATACGTTGTCTGTTTTCCAGGGTTTTCTTAGAATACCTGATAATGCCTGCTTAAAGCATGTGGTATAAGTGTCCTAGAATTAGAAACATTTTTGCTTACAAGTACTACAGATCTGTAAATTGAAAGTCTCACAACCCATTTTGAAAGTACTTAAAGTGGTAGTGAAAATGGTACCTCAAGTTTCATTAAAGATAAAGTAGAATATCTTAACCAGTTATCTTTATTTCCTTTAGGGTCTAATGAAGAAATTCATTCGATGTTCTACACGTGTAACTGTGGGAACTATTAAAAAATTTCTAAGTTTAAAACTAAAACTTCCAAGTTCTTATGAGGTAAGGTAAATACTATCTAACCATCATTTTGGTAATTCTAACCTGAAGTTCTAACAAAGAAAAATTAACTGATAAACTAGAATATATTCAAATTAATTCTCTTGGAAACTTATGTTTTTTATGTTAAAATTCAATTTTTAGAATATAACATTCCATTTATATATTTCCAACTTAATATATACTGAGTAAATCATGATAGTATCTTGTAATTAGAGAAGATATTTAAAGAGCTTAACATTAAGTTCTCAATAAATATACTAATTTTTTTCCTTTTAATATCAACATACTTTAGGATATATCATTTGTTAATCTGAGACCTTTACATTATTAATAGTTTTTATAGACTTCTTCAGAATTTAAACATTACCTTTTTAAGGATTTCACAGATAATGTTCAATTAGTTCCATTTTTGCAAAGTTGATATTGTTTAGCAGGTTGAACCAACATATTACATCTTCATAAATATATTTTACTCTTTTATTATAGGAGAGGCAAATTACTCTGACACTGATTACAAGATAGCTTATAATGTATACAAGGTTCAGAGAATATTTATGATCTAAGGGTATGGATATAACATAGTGAAGAATATCACTACCTATTCTGCCCAAGTAGCAATTTTACAGCTTTTATTAATTTTTCCTTCCACTTTTCCTAAAACCTAAAGACCAGGCTAGCTTCCTGTACAAACAAAGACATTAAAGGGATCATAATTTTTCTGGCTTATTTGTAGTAATGTTTATATCATAAGCAGTCATCATAGGAGAAATAAAATGATTATATTTGAACATAGGCATTTACAGGTATGAAGTCTGTATTTTAAGGAAGCAGCCGATCCTGAACTTACAAGTTTCTCTCAGATGACTAGTTAGTCTGGGTTAAAATGTTTCCTTGTGATTTGGTCCTACAAATACAAAAAATACCCAGCAACATCCACTTTATTTTAGAGAAAAAAATTACAAAATTTAAATGTTAGAACCTAATGAACAGTAAGGTAAAAGATAATAGTTTAAAGGTAGACAGTAAAATTGTTTTTATGATTAGATTTTGCTGCTTGTTTTTTTTAATGAAATACCACGTACAATTTTATTTCTTTATTTTTAAGTCTACTTTATTGAGTTTCCATCTTCTAAAGTTTTTAGGAATTTGTTAGAGCTAAGAGAACTGTTACTCTTAGTCTTCTGGCATGTATTTTATTGCTGTATAGATCAAGATAGAAGGAGAAGAGATTCTATCTACTGTTCATTCATTACATATTCCAGTCAAAGGACTTTCCTGCTTTTTTTTTTTTTCTTTAGGAAGATCGATTGGTCTCTGATTATTTGGTTGCCCAGCCTATAGGAGGTGATTTAATAAAATACCTGACAGCTAAAACTTCTGTGACAGCCTTGCTAAATGGAACAAGATAGTTAAGTTGTTAAATGACAATAGGAGACATATACTTGATTACTAATTCCATCTTAAGTAACTCCCTTTACTTCTTTGCATATTCATTTATTTTATAAGCAAAATAAAGAAAAGAAAGTTCTCTACTTTGTTCTTTTGAGAGAGAATGAAATTTGCTGAACATGGTAGTACGTGCCTATAATCCTAGCACTTGAGAGACTGAGGCAGAATGATTGCGATTTCAAGGTCAGCCTTGGCAGCTTAGTGAGAACCTATCAAGAAAGACAGAGTGGCAGAGAGAGAGAGAGAGAGAGAGAATAAAATCACATCTAAAAGACATTTCAAAGTTCATGTAAGTCAGCACAGTTTAATAACTCAGTAATGTGGTTTCGTACGTCTACTACAATTACTCACTTTAGACTTAAGTTCTCAAAGTCTTTGTCTAGCAAGACACAGCTATTTAACACACATTCTTTTTCTTCCCCTCCATACTTCAAATGAAATCCTACCAGTTGCTTTCAATAGCTAGAGGCTGCAATGGTACTTTATTTATAGCAGTTTATGGTAAATATTCAATTATGCCTTACTCAATTAATGAACTGTAGCCAGAGTTCCTGTGGCCTCTCCTAGGATATGGGGGTTGTTTAGCTCCTGCAACTAGAGCAGATGTGAACATTTATAAGTACAACCCTTTAGTGATATTCTGTATGAGGTGAGAAGAGTGTTGTACACATACATTACCAGCCAAGCACTGGAGAGAAGCAGACACAGATTTGTGCCAGGGAACTAAGTGTGGAAAACTTAGCCACCAAAAATTACTAGAAAACTTTATATACCTGAAATTCCCTATAAATTACTGTATTCATATTGGTCACCTCTTTTGAATTCAAACTAATGAGAAGAAAGTAACCCTTTTCAATCTTGGGCAGTTAAAAAGATTCTGACTGGTAAGTCAGAAGCCAGAAGAATGATGAGGAACGGTGAGCTTGGTACACTTTCTTGTCATCAGTAAAGAGCAATCACAAAAATGTGTTTAAAGGTTTAGGTTACATAGAGATACGAACTAAGGAAGTTTACATTGCATTTATAAATGAGGTGTGTAAACTTGAGACAGTAGATATGTGTTATGGAGCAAGATAAACTGCTTGACCTGGTTAATATTCTGTGAGAAATAAAAGTATTTTAAATAAAGTATTCAGTATTCTTTTACCTAATAATGCTTCTATAGTTACAACTATGTAGATACTTGAAATGTGAAAAATATGTAACATACTTACACATTCAGAATTATTTATGTTAACATATCTGTAATTATTCTTTTTAAAGTTGGATGTACTGTGCAATGGTGAAATTATGGGAAAGGATCATACTATGGAATTCATCTATATGACAAGATGGCGACTAAGAGGAGAAAACGTAAATTACTTTTATATTTACCTATGTGCATATTTATTATGTTATTTAAATTGAATGATATTACTTAGCAACTGAAAAAAAAGTACTTGGGAAGAAAAACTGGTTTCTTGTGTTTCTCCCAGCACTCTAAATTTGATCCAAGTATAAAACCAGTGTCTGTTAAATACGAGGTTTTTTTAAGGTGAGTTTAAACTCTATTGAAAGATGTTTAGGAGTCTGCTAACTTCACACTAAGTGACACATACTTTTTAAAGCCCAGTAACTTATAGGAACCTCTAAGTATACGGAATGAAAGTTGGAAAGCTGGAGTTCTGCCCTGATCCTATGAAGGATGGTCAATAAGAGAGGTGGTTTGGGGTTGAGATAGAAAGGACGAACAGAATAGAATATACATGCATCTTTTTTTCAGGTATCTCCTTCACTTTGAAAGTATAAAATCAGGTCTAAAGGGTAAGTGAATTTGCAATGGCTTCTGATGCTAGAGTTAGATTATTGTGCCCTAGACTCTAGGCAAATGGGAGCAATTGTTCAATGGAAAAAACTAAGCAAACAAAAAGAGAATTTTGATTTTTGAACTATATCTTTGATTAGGGTTAAATTTTAGGTTCAGGGCTGGGGATTTAGCTCAGCAGTATAAGCACCTGCCTTGCAAGCTAGCGGTCATGAGTTCGATCCCTGGTACTGATAAAAATGAAAAAGACAAAAAAAAAAAAAATTAGGTTCAGATACACCTGAATTACAAAGAATATGGGATATTTGAAACACTAGGGATTGTTAGGCTGATATAGTACTGCTACCAGAAATTCTCATGATCTGAGTATATGAAAAAATCTTAATTAAGACTGATTAGAAGTTTTGACTAGGCAACTTCCAAGGTTACCTGTCAAACATTAAGATTGCATAGTGTTTATCATGCAGTATGCAATCCTTTTAAACTCTTAACTAATTTAACATTTCTGTTTTGTGCGCTATGTTTTACTGCATTTTATATGAAATTTAAATTATAAAATATAACACAAATTTAAGAATCAAGTTAATTCACACAAAGTTATATTATACAGAACCCAGATATGAAAGTTACCATATTTCACTAGCTCAAAAACATGCTTAACATTGAATGTAAACATCTCTGTGAGTAGCAAGGCATGGTGGAGCACACTCGTAATCCCAGCACTTGGGCGACTGAGGCAGGAGGGTCACAGCAATTTGAGGCTAGCCTGAATCTACAGAGTGAGGCCCTACCCCTTCCAAGAAAAGGAAGAAAGAAAACGTACTTGTAACTGTTGTAAAACAAACGTCACAATATCGTGTTTTGTTCTAGCCAGTGGATTAGATTTTTGGCTAACTTTTCTTAAGTGTTTAATATAATAAATAAAGCACTTAATTTCATTTTTCCTATTTCACTCTCATGCGGGCAAAGCCTTCCACGTGAAGCTGTGTCCTGGCCAGTAATAAAGGGGCTCAAAACCAGTGCAAAAGAAATCATGTTCTGAAAAACTCATCAAACATTTTTAGAGTTCATTTTTTAAATGTGATTTTCTTTGTATTTGATAAATAACCACTTGCCTTTCTGTGACATTTTATAGTTTTTTATCCATTGTGTATGCATTTTCAGAAACAAATTACAGAGAATACGTTCTCTCAACTACTGCTAAATGTATATTGTGATAGTATATGTAATATTAATGTTACATCGAATATAATTTAGGGTTACTTGGGTAATTTAGTGGAAACTTAATTGTGTTAGTGCTAGTAGTCATTATTATGAGTAGATTTGCTAGAAGGTTAAAGAGATGTAAATGGTCATCACTGTGAGACCCTAAGTTGTGCTTCACAAGACCCCTGTAGAAAGTTGCCTGCCCTTTCAATTACTTAAATATCAAAGCATGAAACAGCTATCCATATAAACTTCTGTTAGTAGACTCTCAGTTAAATCAGTATTACTGCCACTGTATTTCTCATCACACATTTCTTAGTAACTTACGTTCTTTGGTTGGTTAAAATACATTTTAATAAAAGTTCAAAAAGTATTAAAATATCTTAAGCTTTATCATTCAGATAGAGAAAAATTACCACTTAAGTACAGCAGTAAAGTAATATGTTAGACCATTTCTTTCTTTTCCTTTTTGTTTTTCCGTCATTAGTCTTATTTTGAAATTCATAGCTTCATTTTTCTATTTGCTCAGACCCAAATCCCAGAAGTCAGCCTGAATTTCCTTTTCATCTATCGTTAGCAAATTCTGTAATTTTTACCATCAGAACACGTAGTCAGAATCCAGCTGTGTCTTCCTACCTTCTCTTCCACCACTCTGATCCCATCACTATGACTGTTGTCTAGAGTGACTCTGCAGACCTCTCAGCCGGGCTCTACCTTACTCCCCTCCCTGCACTCCTCAGCCTGTCCCTGAGCCAGAAGACTCCTCTGCTCTAGCCTGTCCAGTAACGCTTAATGTAATTTAAATAAAAGCCGAAGTCCTTCTAGAGACCTGTGAATACTGCACACACACAGGTTTCCTGCACCCCTCTCCCACCTGCCCGTTTACTCTCTGTGTCTCCCGTGCTCCTCGCAGCTTGCCCAGCCAATGCTGCGTCATGTTAGCTCCTGTGTCTGCACACTTCATTCACCACCTGTGTCACCTTCTCAGTGAGATTCTTGACCTGCCAGTCACGCTCTGGATTCCTCTTACTTTCTGTGGTACTTCATACCTCTAACCCTTGCATCCTGTCAGTATGTTTTATCCCCCAACTAAAATGTAATGTGCAGGTAGAGGTTTCCATTTGTTCACTGCTAAATCCAGCACCTAGAGTGCTCCCCAGCCCAGAACCCAGTATTTATTTAGAGTAAATCAGTATAATGTTTCCTTTAATAAGATAATAATTATACAAAAATACATCCTAAAGGTCATTCACATCCTTGAATGTCATATTCCCATTTGTTTTCTGTTAGAAGAAATTTTCAATCCTTTCTCAGGCTCCAATGAAATATAAATTATTATGTTGGATGAATTCTGGCAGAAAAGTAACGTGGACTGATACGTCTGGGACAAAGCATAATCTCACTATTGAGTCCCTAGTGTGTTGGTTGTCATCACATCGGTTCCCCCCCTACCATCCATTACCAGCAGGAGGCCGAGAGTTCTGAAGAGTTCCCATGACCTCCTGGCATTGCTAACCAGCTCTGCCTGGGGCTGGAGCTGGCTTGTTCCCTAAACTAAAGACCACTGTTTGATTCTTTATGTGCTTCTAGTATTTTTAATATTAAGCATCTTAATCTAGCTAGGATTGGTTTATTTACACACATTCAGAACACATTCAGGAGTAGTGTATTGTAAAGTTTTTAGTTAAAAATACAATTTGTGGAATAATCATATTTTACCTTACCATTTTGTGATGTTAACCATTATGTACATATATGAATGCATGTGTGTGTGTGTGTGTGTGTGTGTGTCTGTGTGTGTGTATGAGAGAGAGCACCCACTAGACAGACAGAGACACTATACATAGTGTATGTTTATGTACCTGGACATTTTGTTTTATTCTTTTGAGTGATTAGTTTTCTAAACCAGTGTTACATATCATATAGATTTTATAAAAATCTGATCACATAACAATTCGGCTTTAATGGTTCAGTTTCTTGTAAAGCAAATATTGGACCTTCTTAGGTTGCTTTGTGATACATATTAGTATCTGTTGGTATAGTACCACAATAAAAAAGCTACCTATTTTTTTTTTAAATTGTGTTGGCTGATTCTGTCATTTAGTCCTCCAGGAGATCTTTTGAGTGAGATTTACTCAAATCTGTATTTTGGCATTGTTTTGGCTGGAATTGACATGCTTGTAGCTAATTATTCTCTATATTGCATGAGGCTATCTCCTTATAAGTTCAATATCTTTTTGCTCCTATCTTTTGAGTCCAAACTATACTTTTTTTTTCCTTTTGGATACTACTTTCTGAAACTTCTGCCTCAGACAAGGCTACTGCATGTTTCGATCACCCCTTACTGTGTTCTGTTTCTAGCTTCCTAGGAAGAATCTCAGGCAAATTAATTTGGCCTCCAGTTCTCAAGTAATATCTCCCTACACCACCCAGCCTCAGTACTACTGCTTTCCTTTATTTTGCAGTAGTTCTGCTTCAGCCTTATCCATTTTTCTGTGAGTCCAGCTCTTTCTGGACTTTGTTTTCATTGTAGTGTCCTTTTGAAAAATTTTTATCTTTAGAAATCAAAACAAACTTCTGGTCCAATTTAGCTAGCTCTAGGAGTGTTTCAGTATATAACAATATTTGCCACTTCAGTATTCTTATATGCCAACTTGGCACTGATTTTTTTTTCCTTATACTGAAAGAAAGTGTACTTTTAACAAATGATGCATGCCTAGTATTTGAGCTACTCCAGAGGCTGAGGCATAAGGATCACAATTTGAAGGCCAGCTTGGGCAACTTAGTGAAACCCTGTATCAAAACAAACATATAAATAGGGTTGAGTTGTAGTTTAGTGGTACAGCACTTTCTTAGCATGCTTTGAGGTCCTAGGCTCAATCCATAGTAAAATGTAAAATTTATGTGTACTGTCCCATCCCAGTGGCCCTCATGAGTTTTTGAAATATATATGGAATTTCATGTATTGTTTTGCAACCGCTTTTTCTCATTTGACAGTATGTCTAATGGAGAATCAGTAAACTTTGAAGTACTTTTCAGTATATTGATAGAGGCCGGGAGTGTAGCTCAGCAGCACAAGTACCTGCCTGGCAAGTGCGAGGTTGTAAATTCAATCCCTGGTACAAAAAATAAAATCTTTCTACCTAGATAGATAAACAGATAGATATAAATATAGATATATAATTTGACTTGTGTCTGTAGTATATTTAATTAACAATAATTTGATGGAAAGTTAGACTTTTTTCTACTTTTTTTTTTACATTTGAAGCCATGCTTACAATACACTGCTAGTACATGTATTTCTGCACATGTGCAAATATATCTATTGTTTAAATTCCTAGAAGTAGATTTACAACAGAATATGTGTGTTCTGAATTTAGAGTTAGTGACAAACTGTGCCCTAAAGGTTTAATCGTATAAATGTGTAATCATATAAGGAAGGTATCAGATGCTTGTTTCCTGGTATCCTTACTAATACCATATTACAAACTTCATATTTCTTTTGTAAACTTTCACATTAATTGTTTTGGAGGAGTTTTTTTTTTTTTTTTTGGTCACTAAGTTTGCCTTTTTCTTACCAACTTCTAGGAAGTGTATATATTCTGAATGTGAATTTTTTTGTTAAATGCTTTCTACTTTTTTATGTTTTTTATTAATACATGTTTGCAGTATTAATTTTACGTTATATGTCTCAGCTGTTTTTTCAGTTATGTCCTGCTTCCTCGTTTGCCTCAGGTGATCTAAAAAACTAGAGTAATAATACCTTTTTCAAAACATTCAGCAAGAATTAAATGCTTAGCAGAATATATAATAAACATTATTTTAGTAATAGGTTATGTAAGTTAACTTTCATTTTGATTTCAGTTCTCTCTTCCTTCCTGCATTCCACCTCGGAGGGCTTGCTGTCAGGGTCTTTCTACTCAGCTGCAGCTTTAGTCGTGGACTGGCCTACCTGCCTTTCCCGGACTGGGCTCAGCACCCCCGTCAGGCAGTCCCCACCCCTTCTGAAGTGATCCTGGTTAGCTTTTTCTGCAACAGCTTTTGTCGGTCCAGCACTAGAAGTGACCACTTCGTGCTCGCCTTCCTTTGCTTCATTGGTATTATCTGGCATTGTAGGAAAACCAGTTATAAACTATCTTGAATGATACCAAAGAGATTAATAGATAAAAGAATTAGTTAAGATGCCTTTTTCTACCTTAACTCTGTGTTCCTGGTAAACACTCTTTGCAACTTGAATAGTTAGGCAAACTCTGAAAGGCCAGAGTTTGAGGACTATTCAGAGAGAAGAACATCAGCACGAAATAGCCCTGCTGGACGTGTCTTAGAGCATGTCAGTGAGCACTGTGCATAGAATTGAGGACCAACTTCTGATGGAAAAAAAATTGCAAAAGTATTTAGAGGAAATAGACCATTTACAATCTTCTCAAAGTACCTCTTATAAAAATCTACTCTAGGGTGTTAGAGTTATCCCAGTAAATTTACAACTCATGTTTTAAATATATACTTATTTTTTCCATTTTGAATAAGTGTGCAATGTTGAATTCATGTATGCATAATTTTAAATATACATTTTATATTTTATACTTCAATTATGAAAATTACATTTGTATTGAATGTATTTAGCATATTTTAAATTTAAAAATTAAGATTAGGGATGACTTTTCTTAATATAACTGGTTAAAATGATAAAAGGTAGTGAGTTTACAAGTGAATCTGCTCAAAACTTTTTAAATACGCTCACTTGATTCACTCATACATTTATTGAGTAGCTGCTGTGTGGACAGTAGCTGTTAAGACTGCAAATGTAAACGTGAAATAGACTTCAGAAGCACCTAACTTAAAGCTGTTAACATAGGTAATTAAACTAATGATCCAGTCTGAGCAATATGAAGAACCTAATATAAAAGAGAAAGTGAATCCTTAACAGGTTGAGTGAAATTCTGTGCCTCACTCAGAGAGCTAATCTCCTTGAAAAGGGGGTAAAGAGGAGACCTAGGAGAGATTGTTCACCAGAAGGCATGGAAAAGAGTGCCTTGTGTGTACTAGGTAAGGATTTCCCCCAGAATTAGTCTTTGAAAAGGATATGGAAAAGATAGGCCTCCATTTTGGTATTTGCTGAATATTAATCTCATAGTTAGATGCAGAAATCACTTACGCTAAATTTTTACCAATCATTAAGTTATTAAATCTAATTTTTCCAAAACAACTACCATTTTCTCAGAGTGTTTATTTAAAATTAGTCATGTTGCCTCTTATGTTTGATATTAAAATTTTTTAAATAATCAATTTCAATATGTATCCAGTTGTGGATGCCTCTTATCTGATGAGTTCATCTCCTCCGCAGTTTCGGTGTCTGAACTGCTCAGCTTCGCAAGTCTGCTCTCAGGATGGCCCTTTGTATCAGGTAAGAGGCACTCATGATGGTACATATGCCCATCACAATGCCCTGGCGGTCCCAAACCTGACTTTCTGAGACATGTCACTAGACAAAACTTAATGAGTTTTTTTATCTTTTCAAAACAAATTTACCCACTATTTATGTGTCAAAACCATATTTATGAGTCAGGAATTTTAAATAACTACTAGCTTCAGCCCTTAAATATTTGACCCGCGTTAGATTAGGGTGTTACCTTCTTTGTATAAGTAAGTATATATTTAAAGAGTTAATTTACAAGAGAAGGATGAGATGCCAACTTAGATGATTTTAAATAACAAGAGCTAAATGTAATTATATTTCCTTACTCTCTTCCCTTAGCATGTTACTTGTGTTATCTCTTTTGACATGTTAGTGAGCTAATTTTGTAATATGCTGAGAATAGTTGAACATATGTTCAAGGAAAGTTTAACATTAATTTCACTACAAAATGGGAAAGTAAGCTTATATCCCTGACCATTTTTAATTTTTTTTTTTTTTTTTTTTGAGACAGGTCTTGCTGAGTTACTTAATTGGTCAGGTGGAGGTCAAACATTTGATCCTTCTGTCTTAGCCTCCTAGAGTACTAGGAGTGGAGATATGCTCACCATGCCCACCTAAAACAGATTTTTACATCGACACAAATGTTCTTCTCTCTCCCTCCCTCTTTCTCTCTCTCTCTCTCTCTCTCCCTCCCTCCCTCCCTCTTTCTCTCTCTCTCTCTCTCTCTCTCTCTCTCTCTCTCTCTCTCTCTCCTTCTCTCTCTCTCTCTCTCTTTTATGGATATTGGTCTTATAAGAAAATTTTTAGCCAAAAACGGAAGAAATTGCTAGGGGGAAAAAACATTTTTAAAATACAAGAACAAATTATGCATATAGCTTTACGCTATTAAAATTTTAAATTTTGTGAGCATTTTTTAAAATAGACAATTGTTGGGAAAAATCCTTGATTCTTTTTGGGTGGAGGGGTACTGGGAATCAAACGCTCAACCTTGTGCTTGCCAGGCAGGTGCTTACACTGCTGAGCTAAATCCCCAGCCCCAATTTTTGTGAAAATATAATGTATCAAAATTTACCCAAGAAGAAAGAAAATTTAAATCACTAATTCATGAAAGGCATAAAAGTTTAAAGGTTTAACTTACTCTAAATATTCTTAAGTGCTTTTGTGGTTACATTCTCCAGATTTGCAAGGAAAAGATCAATCTTAATCTGTACCTATATTATACATTTTGTTTTACATCATTAAAAAACATGAAAACCTTACGAATTCATTTCACAATAATAGCTTAAATATGATAGTAAAACTGATAGGGAACCCACAAGGGGAAAGCTAATACCGAATCTGATTTTGAATATTAAGTACAAAAGTGATAAGTAATATACTGAAGCATACTAATTATACTAAATAATATTCTAAAATATGCTAAAAGAATAGAAAGCCAAAACCTAGTAGGTATTTTATCAGAAATGCAAGAATGGCTTAATAATTTGGGAAGAACATTGTTATCTCTAAGCCTTACATATGTAGGTATGTGTGAAAATATATATACTTACATATATTTTATATCCACACACTAAAAAATTTCCAGTGGATGATGAAAACGCATTTTTAAAAATTCAGTGTTAGGTACTGATTTTTTCCTTTGAGCCTCTTACATTTAAATTTTTCAGGACAACAAAAAAGTTGAAATTATTATATCCTTTTACCTAGATTTACCAATTGACATTTTACCACATTTTCTGCCACCTTTCCCTTTCTTCTTTTTCCCATCTCCTCTTACTCTATTCTCTCTGTCTCTGTCTCTGTTTTTGCCTCTTGCTTTTTGTGGAACCATTTGAAAGTAATTAAGTCAGGAGAGTTGATCACTAAGTACTTCAGTATGCATTTCTCACAGAGACCATCTTGTATACAGTGGTACCTTTGTTCTGGAACTTGATTCTTCCCACAGTTCTAGTCGCAAACCAAGTTGGATGACAACTGAGTCAAATTCAGTGGTTAGGTTCAGTGTTGACCTTAGAGGGAAATCTGATTTAGTTCTTGTCCAGTTTGATTCCCGTAGATTCAAAATTCCATTTCACGCAGCAGAAATTTAAATAGAATGTTAAATATTATAAAGATGTTAGTTTTCCCCTTGATTAAGTTGTGAAGTCAAATGTAATGCCAAATATACTTTTACCAGATTCTAGTTTAACGTGACAACATTAATTATTCTAAAGTTCACAGGAAATACAAATAGATGCTTCTAGTCATTCATTTTTCAAATGAGTAATGAAAGAATAAGTGTACTGCTCTTATTAAAATGTATTAGAAAGCTGAAATAGTTAAAATCAGCATAGACAAACGAATGAAAAGGAATAACTTCAATATAGATATATGAACTAAATATATATAAAGGTGTCTTGGGATGGCTTCTCATGTTGTATAGGAGCATATAAAAGTGTATAAAAGCAATACCTCTAATTAATAGAGAAAAAGATTAACTTAGGTATCTCTTCAGCACTTGTACTATGTACTGGGCATGCGTCCAGCCCTGGAGAAGTGAAAATGAGCATAGGACTTTTCTCTCATAGAACTTACACTCTAACGACTATTAGACAAAGAGCAAACAACTAAATGTTAGTGTTAGAAGAAAATTTCAAGTAGATAAGTAGAATATTTTTATTAAGATACCTAATAAAGAAGGTCTCTTTGACAAGGTACTTTTTGATCAAAAGGAAGTAAGAGACATCACCATGTAAATATCTGATGCCAAAGTAAGACATTACAGAAGACCTGGACAGAGAACGTGTCTGGTTGTTTGAGAGTTGTAGGGATCTGTGGTGCTGGAGCGGGCAAGACAGAGGAGGGGTGGGCAGCTGTGTCCTCGGGGATGCCTTGTTCAAGTTAAGTGCAGATCTTGTGGGGCTTGTTTGCATTAACTGTACTGACACTAGTGGGAGAATGCAAACCTCACATTATTCACCAGCATAACTTTCTGATGGTTTAAAATATTAAACATGATACTAAAAGATATTAAGCGAGTATAGTTAAATGATTTCAGAGAGGAAACAGTCCAAAAATCTCACACTAAGTAAATATTTACAGTATGTGTAAGAAAGACAAAAACCTTACTACATAAAAATATTCATAAAAATCCATGAGACAGTTAGCTTGGGAAGTTACAAAAAAAAGGAAGTATACTTGGCTAACAACCATGTACAAATGATGAAATTATTTTGACGTCAAGAAATAAAATAATATTTTGTGCTTATTTCCAAATTAAAATGAATGTGGGTAATAGTCACTGTTGATGAGATTCTGGAAAAATGGCCACTCATTTCTTTTGGAAAAGCAAAAGTAGAACAAGTTTCTTGAAGATGCTTATCAAAATGCTTTTTTTAAATGTGTATGTTATTTGAACTAGTAATTTCACTTCTAAGAATCTGTCCTGTAGGAAAGAATATAAATCATTAGTTTAAGATTAATTTATAATAGCAAAAAAGGAATACTCTCAAATGTGTAGCAAACAGAAATATGGATAGCTTACAACTCATTTCTTTAAAAGCATATAGTGTAATCATGTATTAAATAGCCTGGAAATGCATCTACAGAATTTTAAATTGATGAAATTATTTACCAAACAATATAGTCCAGGTGGGGAAAAAGTATAGATAAAAAGACTAGGGTATATGCTAAAATTAGGTAGTGGTTACATTTAGGTGATAGGATTAAATAATTGTCCTTTCTCTTGGTGTTTTTCTGAAGTTTCCAGTCTGTAGTAAAACAAGCCTAGTGCCAGCAAAACCTTCTCCTCCCTGTCACACTCTCGGCCCTCGTAGAGCTGTTGGCGAAGGCTTCTATGTATTCTGAATTATTCTAAAATGAGTTTAATTACTGAAGCTATGCAGATTCAACAGTCAGGAAAGAAAAATGAAACTTGGAAATAAAAGACATGTTACAGGTGGGAGTGAAGTGGAATAGGAATTAGTAAGGTTAGGATAAAATATCTGTTAGTGGTCTCATACTGTGGCTGAGCTCCAGAAATACTCACAGAATTTTATAAATTACAGATTTCCATACCCCATTCCCAGATACTTTGATGCTGCAAGAACAGAATAAAGTTTAAAACAAAAAACAGTAAACAAAATTAAATCAAAGTAATTTTTGACCTTGGAAACCTTGAGAAGCTGAGACTTTCATTGCTAGCCCATAGAAATCTGGGAATGGCATCTGGTTTGCGTGTTCAGCTGAAAGAGCAAGGTCTGGAGGATTTTTATTCCTACTTTCCTGTCTGTTTTTAAAAAGTATTTTAGTATATGTCCTGGTGAAGCGAGCACAAATTTACTCTTTGAATTTTTTTTTTTTTTTTTTTTTTGGTGCTGGGGATCGAACTCATGACCTAGCACTGCCAAGCAGGTGCTTATGCCACTGAGCTAAATCCCCAACCCTGTCTTCCTATCTTATCCTGAGAAGAAAGCTACAAGTGCCAAAATGGTCATTTTCAGAATTGTAGAATCTCAGTGCCTTTAATCTGTATGAAAGAATACAGAGTTGTCTATTCTGGATTTTTGCATTTTCCCACACTAAGGTCAAGTAACAGAGTATGGTCATCTCAGCCTTTTCTTGAAAATATAAAAGTAATTGAGATTTCATTTTAAAGGGCACCCTGCAACTTTAAGAAAGGTCATTGTTTCTCCAGATCCTTTCTGATTTTGTGATCTTTTTTTCCATATTATATAAGAAACTAGAGGGGAAAACAGATGCAGAGGTAGCTTGGCATATTCCTGTCTTTACAAGCTCTTTCCTCCTAGCACTGTGTATGATGTATGATATCTTTTCTATGTGGACAACACTAAGAACAATTATGAACCTTTTATTTATATAATAGTCAAATCAGAACATTTAATAGCATGAACTGACTATTGAAAGAAGACAGTAACCTAAATATTTCATGTAACTAGTTACTTATTTATCTAATATTTTTAAAGAGTATTAAAATAAATTGCAAATACTAAAAAGGAACAAATATCAAGCTTGTAAAATTTTTGGCTTTGTGGTGCAGTTTCCTAAATTCCCAGCAGGGGGTGTCTTGCTAATGTATCACTCAGTGTTACTCAGCAGCAGCTCTGCAGAATCTGGCCTGCCAGCTCAGATGGCTGAGCCATGCAGAGCAGCTATTAGTGGGATATTTAGAAGCACGACGTATAGCTCACAGTCCTCAACAGGCCCTGCCTCTCCCTAAGTAATGCATTGGGATGGTCACATATGCGACTTCCACATGACATCTGTAGACTTCGAAACTTGACCTTTACTGTATATTAGTGAAAATGTGACTGAATCAAGAGAAATAATGGTAAGCAAAAGAAATGAGAATATACTAACTTAAATTTTAAATGACAATTTAAATCTTTACTGTTTAATCACTATCAGGAAATACTGTAAATTATGACTTGAATTCTTAAAATCTTGTATGTAAACTACATTGTACATAAACTACGTTGTGTTTATACAAACAGTCTCATTCACTATCTGTTTTTATTTTATAGTCATACCCTATGGTATTGCAGTATCGACCAAGAATTGATTTCGGTTAGACCAAGGGGCCTAGAATTCACTGAAATGAATCCTGCACTATTTGTTTACTCGTCGACAGATTGCACAGTGACTGGTGTGTGGACTAGAGGGACACAATCCGTTTTCAGCATGCAAATAAGGCCATTGTCTGTCTCTAAATTGTTAGTTGCATTCATGTTGTTTTTATTAAGAGCAAAGCAGGTGCCATTCTGCTACTGAACCATCTGTGTGTGGTATTCGTGCTGTCTCACAGTGTCTCATAGTTGAAATCATGGTATACCGCCATGATTTGGCCTTTTGAATATTTTGCTTGCCTGTTTCAAGATTGTCCTAATGTTTAATTACACTAGTAATATGGCTCAATCTTTGTGGTGTTGCAGTTTTCACATACTTACTATTTTATTAATTCTTCTTTAAATAGAGTACTGTACAAGAATCTGATAATTATATCTGAAGTTATTTTGTATGGAAATATATTTAGAAAAGTGGTTTCTGAGCCACCATCTTACTCTTGCTAAGCTTTTTGTGTAAAAAAAAATTCATTCTTGAGTGTGTAAGTCATTTTATGAAGAATTCCAATTATTTAATGTTGGAGCACATCATAATTGTCAACATTGAAAGCATCTCTGTGGTCTACCAGTTGCCCAAGGAAGGCATGTTAGCCCTCCAGATCAAAATGTATGTAATTTCTTGAACAACCGAAGTTAGATTCACAATCATTTGAAATGTTGGCAGCTGACCACATTTACTTCTAATAAGATCAATGTGTAAGTAAGGTTCATCTTTTGTAATGCCTTATGAGAAGTGGGTGCTGCTTCATGACACTTCATTGTATAGCCCATTTTATGTTTGTACCATTACATTGCTGTTGTCATTTAACGAATACATTGTTTTTCTTTTATTCTGGCCTTAGGTGTGTTTCATTGTGGCATGCGAAAGATTGTGAATGATGATTCTAAATGTTAGGTTTTTTAAGAACAGATAACATTAGCTATTTTATGGATTTCAAATATCTCAAAAATAATTGTAGGTTAAAAATGCTAGTTATCACATTTCCAAAACGTATGCATAAAAGATAATACAGTTTAGTAGTTAAATATGCTAACCAAAATTAAGGGTTTGAGAATATTTTATTTTAGCTATTATAATCAGAGGGAAATTGTATTATTTTATACATGAGTTTATTAAAATTCAGAACTGTGATAATTTCCTTGATGTTGCTGTTTTGTTTTGGATTAATCTGCAAGTCACAAAAAGTCTTGTTCCCTTAAACAATATAATTTTTTGAATTTTAAATCTTTTAAAATTTAGTTTTCCAAAAACGTCCTTGGAATTTGCTTTAACAATTACTTTTAACCTCTGAAAATTAGAGAAATGCTTAGAAAATAGCAAAAACTGCTTGTTTTGGAAATCTGACATGAGCACAATCTGTGTGTTAAACACATGGCTTTTATACTGTATACATGAGAGAAATGCTATATTTTCTAGTCAGATGTATCACAAATTAATGCCTTCTAAATACCAAATTGCTTCATACAACGAAAATACTATATAACTCCAAGGAACATGCAAAATACAGCTCAATCTCAATGCATTTTATCATATAAAAGACCTGAAGTTCATAATTTTTTATATTTTTTCTAAGTCAAACAGTCTATATAAAAGTTTTCTGATGTTCTGACTTGTGAACAGGGGTAGGCATGGCAGTTTTTTGTTTGTTTCTTTATATTTTTTAGTTCTTTGAAAAGCTCACATGCAGAATTTAAAATGGTTTCATTAGTTCCTTAAATGCTTTGAAAAACAATTAGGTTCAACCGAAAATTGAATTTATTATCCAGCTACAGAAAAAAATGTTTTGTGAAATCTAGTTCCTACATATTTTTAAAATTTTTTTTACATTGGTATAAATTTGTCATACCTACATCAATGATTACCATAGTGTTTTCAATTTGGGAGATAATTTTAATTCAAAATGAATTGAGCACATTTTGAAAACCACAAATTAAGCGTAAGTGTTTTGGCTCCCAAGTCAAAACTTTATGGCCATAAATAAGTTTCAGTCTGAAGATCTCTTTCAATTTGGTTCTTGCCTGATCATATGTAATTCCACCATTTTCTTTGTATTTAGGGAAATAGTTATAGAACTGAAAATAGTTTATATAAAATTCCTTTATGAAATGTTAACACATTGACATTTTTATTGGAATGCAGTGGAAGACTATGTGCCAAAATATGTAAGAATCTTAGTATTGGTTGTCATTCTGGAATAGGTACACATTTGTTTTTATGGTCCTGAGTGATGTGGTATTGCTACTAGAAACCCAGATCTCTTCAGCTAACCTCTTATAGTATATCAACTGTGAGTTTCTAAGTATGGGACTACTTTTCTGGCTAGTAGTACACTAAATTCCCTGCTAATTATCCCTTATATCAGATTATAGAACTTGCAGGAAACCAAATATAGAGAAAATATACAAGCACCTCTTTTGGTTAACTTTATAAATATAGGGTGCATTAAAAAAGACTTTTAAATAAGAACCTGTTGTCTGCATCTGTTAAATCACGTAATAAACCCAATTTAAATTATTCTTTAGTCTGTTATTTCTTAAGCAATAAATTGTAAGAATTGTATTATGTCCATAAAAGATTGTGTTTTCTGTTTTATTTGCCGTAAAAGTCATATATGAAAGAGTCAAGGAACTTTAGATAATAAAAAATGTGTATAGATATAAAGATCACTTTAAATGGAAGTAGTCACATTGTTTTAATAGAGAAATCAAAATATAGCCTTTCTCTAAATTAACAAAACACTAGGTTAATAAGATACTTAAGTATGACAAAAAAGATTTGTTGATAAGGTAAAAATCTGGGGATTAGGTAACTTTACTAATGCCTTTAGCTACTTCTAGAAAAGTGTACTATTTCTTTACTCATTGAACATCTGTCCCATACTATTGTACCACATTTTATAAATGTAGTGCGTTTGCTCAATTATATTATACACTCGTGTTACATAAATTTAAAGTGACTCCTTCAGAAATATAAATGTTATATACTATATTGAACTAATTTCTAGCTTTATTAAATATTAAAAAGAAAGTGCCTCATTGCTAAACGTGCATTTCTGTTTTAGATTTACTGTGTAAATTTTGAGTTTTCTGTACCTGTCCCTTATCATTGGTTTCATATTTATATAGGCACTTGCAAGTTAGAGTAATCACTTTTTAAAAGATTTTCATAAGAATATAGATATCACCAAAGACATTTTACTGTTAATTAGTAACCATGTTGGAGAAACAGTTTTAGCAGTTCAGAGGTTGGCAATTTTTAGACTGTGACTTAATTTTTTATAGGCAGGCAATAACATTGATTAATTCTAAAGTATCACCAAAGAAAGGCTTTCATGTAAATTTTCTTGGTGAGACTAGTCAAATGCAGGTTTTTCTTGAAATAATCAAAGCACATTTGCTTTTGAACATATCCAGTTATCTTATCTCCATCTGACACATTTTAAGAAATTCTTAAATGTGAGAAATTAAAAAACAACAAGCTTCTCTCTGAAGGAAAAGTGGGAAAAGTGCATACTTTTGAAAGAAAATTGAAACTGAGTTTATAAATTTTAATTTGAGATGCTTTTTGTCTCACAGACATAACATAAATTGCTCTTAGCTCCTGGGCTCTTAGTAATATGTAAAGTTTCATTAAAGATAGATTTTGATAAAAGTGCTGATATGGTTATATATGTAGAACATAGTACCTTCTACTGAATTTACAAAAATGCTCTTTCTATATTTAAAAGCAAAATTTTCCTAAGGGCCTATGTTTCTTGTTGCTCAGCAGTTACTTCATTGTTATTAAAATTTTGCCATCACATCCAAATTTGGCAAAATGGATCACAGAACAAGAGCATCTCTAATACCAAAAGAGATGTGTACCTTTATGTCTTTTCTCCTGTGAAGTAAAACTCTACTCATAGCTCACTAGTTAGACCCCCTCAGGATAAAATTAATGCACATTGTGTCACGTACTCTGGTGCAGAGTAAATTTTCCAGTAAGCTAAACTTTATGCTACCAAAATACTGGTTGATTATACTAATTTCAAAAATGAATTATTTTGCCATAATTTTTCTGGATTAGAAACAAAAATTTAAACTGTTATTAAGTTGTATGTACCTGTTATCCAGAGAGCAATAAAAAATGTTTTATATCTGCTAAATATGGTGTTTGAAAGATTTAAAAAAATATTAAAGACTCAGAAGCCTTCTCAAAACACACAAAAAAAATGGCCAGTTGTTTCTGGGTTTACTTGATATACCTAGTTCAGTAGTATTTTGATGGAAAACAGAGATCAAATGTTTGAAAATACAGTTACGTAGTACATAGTTTTCATTGTTGTATTTTGGTTTTTTAAGTGTTTTTTTCTGTAATTTAAAATTTTATTTGCTATTATAGTGTCAAAAAAAATATTTGAGTATTTCCTTTTAAGAAGGTTTTAAAATTTAGCTTAAAAATTACTTCTAATGCTCATGCAAATGTCTGTATACTCATGCTCCTTTTTTTATGATTCAAAACTTAAGACTGGTTTTTCAGAAATGATTTTTTTAATTTTAATTATATTTAAGTCTGCAATCAAGTGAAACATGGGTCTAGTTTTCTTCCATCTTATAGAACTTCATGAAATAAGAAACTAAAAGTACAAATGAAAATTAAGTATTTCTGGATAATGTAGAGATAATAAAAAGATTAATTTATTTATCCATACACTTCATATCAATTCACTGGAGCAGGAATTCTACACGTTAAAATTCTTTTGCTGTATTTTTTAGACCAGGGATGGGGGCCTAAGTGTCCTTATGAAGCTGTGGTCTATGATGAGAGCTTGTGGGGAGAGAGGATCCATGTTCTGCTTTCCTGCATCTGGCAGTGCAACAGTGATCATCAGTTTTTATTAGAGTAGCCCTCACAGTAAACTACTATAGAATATATTGTAAAGTTATGTTGCTAGTTTTACTTTGAAATATGAAATATTTTAAGCTTTTGTCAAAAGTGGTAACATCTTAATACAAATAAAAACCTTTTTGTGGTTGTAAGATTTAGCTTATAAATCATTCAAATTGAAGTGAAAGATTTACCAGGTCATTGTTAATGACTTAGTCTATTAAGAATATATGTATTTTTTTAAAAGAAAAGCACTTGTAGATATTTAATCAGTACAAGATACATGTCTGTTTTGCAGAAATAAAATGCTGCTTAGAGATTCTCTTTAAATATTTTTTATTTTTGTGCCCAAATGTATTTTCTGTTGATCTATGGAATGTTCTGTACAAAGCTGTATGATTGTACTGTTGAAGCTAGATACTTTTTTTAATCTGGACTTAGCCAAATATATTTGACCATGTTAAAGATAGTATCTTTGTTATTAAAAATTTGATTGCATAATTTATGGTTTGTCATCTATTTAATATTAGTAACTATTTTGAAACCTCCATTTAAAATGTCATATCTAACAAATTTTATTGAGATTTGAGTATGTGAGATCATTAACGTTAGCATTTTCTAAAAGATTCTTTAGCTATTTTAAGACAGCAGCCTGTCCCTCAGCTTATACGTGCGAACATGCGCGCGCACACACACACACACACACACACACACACACACACACACGCACGCATACACATAGTAGAATTTCTTGATTTATTCATCAAACCCAAAAAACCTTTAGGAAGTAATTAGAAATCAGAGAAATACATAAATAAATTAAGACTGTTTCCTTTAGCCAGTTAAGAGAATTTGGCTTTGTCTGATTACATCCTGCATGTACACTTGGAGGAATTCTGATGAGGCTAAAGAAGATCTTTTACGTCAGGAAGGTTGCGACGGGTTTGTCCTGGCTTCCTTGTTGGTGAAGCCGTGCAGGTGGCTGGAATCTCCAGTCCCGCAGTGACAGTGGAAGGCGCTGTCCGCGCAGCAGGTTTCGGCTTTCTTCCATCTCTTACAGTTACACTTTCATCGCAGCTGAGGAAGAGCGGGGAAGAGTGCTAGTCCATGGAAAGTGCGCAGTGTGTAAGACACACGCCCCTTCCCTCCCGTGTCACTGGCCACAACGTGGCCCACCCAGCAGGATCCAGCAAGGGGGACCCAGTGAGCCTGCTTCCCAAGCAAGAAGACAGTTTTATAACCTGCTTCTCAACTCTTCTCCACCTCCATTTGAGGAAAAAGGGTTGCAGTTTTCCGAGTTTTAGAAGTGTTTCTGCCCTCTTCACTGCTTAAAGATGTGGGGAGATCTTGCACCCAAGCTCAGCCTGGGAAGTTTAGCATTTTGTGTATCTGGGGAATTTGCAGGTAGTATTGATCTCGAAGCAATGAAAACCCTGATTAGCACCCAAATCCCTTCCCTGGATCCAGTGTTACCCTCAAAATCAGATGGAGAATGGTGGCCCAGAAAAGATAAATAGGCACCAATACTACCTATTGAAAAGGAACTGTCTCTTCACATATGAGGACCCTTATTACAACACGCATTCCTCCTACAAATCTGTTTTTTAATTATTTTTATTTGTACAAATCTGTTTATTTAACCCATAATTCTGCTTACAAGTCCTGGTCCTACAATTCTGTGCTCCTGCTTACAAAGCACTAATATGCACAGCCCTTTTATCCCTACCAACCCTTCCTCCTCCCTGTGGAGCTCCATTCCTTATAAAGTGCAGCTCTTCAAACTGCACCCCGTGCTTCTGTCAAAGACGTCCTCTAGCCTTCCCCTTCAATACAAAGCCTTGCTCCTACAAACTCCGCCCTCATAGCCTGGCTGATAACAAGTTGGCCTTGCAACTCCTACAGAGCCCTATTCTTCCTACCAAGCCCTTAGCCTTCTCCCAAAGCCACAATCCAACAAATCCATAATCCTTTGTAAGCCCTACTGCATCTAACAAAACCTCAGTACTTGCAAAACTTAACTCATTCTACAATCCCTGCTGTTATAAAGTCCCTCTAGTTCTTAGAAAACTCCACTCCTATGGAGCGCCACTCCTGCAGAGACCCCATGATAATTACCAGACTGGGCTTTGCACTGTTCTGCTTCTCCTACCAGCCAGATTCCTTGGTTAGTAAGCCCTGCTCTTCCTACAAAGCAAACTTAAAAGCCTTAATTCTTTCTCCTGCCTAGTCTAGTTCCCTGTACTGTGAAAAAAGCAAACAAAAAATTCCTCTTAAAAATCCTTGTTCCTCCTCTAAGTGCTCTTTTTATGAAGGCATGATTCCACTACCAAGTCTGTATCTCATGTTATAAAACCCTGTTTGCTCTACCAGGCCTGGCCTCCTTCAAGCCATGTCCTCTCCAAACCCTGTTCGTCAGCCTAGCATAACACTTGTTCTGAAAATCTGATTTTCTTATTAAACCCTTCTCCTTCCTCACAAAGTCCTCTCCCTAGGAAGCCTTGTTTTGGGAGTGCTGTTTGTATTCACCAATCTCTGTACCTCCTTACCGAATCCTGTGCATCTTACAAACCCTGTTTCTTATGGAGTCCAGTTTCTTATAAAGCTTTGTTCCTCCTAATAAGACAATCTTTGTATAAACATAAATTCTTTGTCTCCCAAAATTGAGGCATAAGTTTGGGGACAAGGGAGTTTAGGAGAGTTTTATTAGAAATAATCAGAAAAAAATAGGTAAATACCAGGAGGGGAAAGAAGTCCAACATGCTTTCTTTGTCTTGGCCTTGCATAGATGGAAGAAGGAGCAAGTTCAAAGGACTTTAGTTCAAAAATTGGCTATATTGCCTTTCTAATGTTTTCTCAAAGTCTGGTTCAATCTGGGTCCAGAGGGAGAAACTGTCCAGCTGAAGTCCAAGTCCACAGGAAGGAGAAGCCATTCACTAACTAGTATATCTTTGTCCTGGGAGGAAAAGTCCTTACTTTCCTATTTTTTGTAGCTTTTTATCCTTCTTGTGTTTACCTTTGCACCTCTAGGTTCAACCAGCTGCTTGAGTTAGTTGTTTAACTGTGGGCTATTTCCTGTTATGGGACCTCTATTTAGACTGTTCTGGCCGCATTTTCATAACTAACCTGCATTAGCAAAATCCTGCCTCTCCAACAAAGCCAGTCCTTCCAAAGCCCTGCTCATGGTTACAGGTGTTGCTCCTAAGCCTCCCTCCTCCTTAACAGTCTTCCCATCAGTCTCCCTGCTCCTCTGGGCCACATACTGTTCCTCATCCTTAAGAAGCCTTCTATAAAGCTTTTGTTTCTCCTACAAACCCTCCTCCATTCGATGATGTGTTTTGAAAGGTCTAGCTCTTAAAAATCCTGTGTCCTATTAAAATTTCTGGTCCTCAGGGCTGGGGATTTAGCTCAGTGGCATAAGCGCCTGCCTTGTAAGCAGGGAGTTGTGAGTTCGATCCCTGGTACCGATAAAAAGGAAAAAGACAAAAAAAGAAAAAAAAATTTCTGGTCCTCCTAGGAAGACTTTTTCCTCCACTAAGTTTGTCTCTCCTTAAAATCCCCACTTATCCTATAAACTCTGCTCCTCCTGAGAAACCCTTTTCTTCCTAGAAAGCGCTACTATAAACTCCTGGGTTTTTTATAAAGCCCCATGCCTCCTTACAAACCCCTGCTGCTCCTTGCAAAACCCTGCTTCTTTTTACAAGACACTATTAACTAGTAAAATGCTCCAGCTCAGGGTGGCAGCTACTTAGAAGTCTGAAGTAAGTATGCCTGGAGACCAACATGGGAAACATGTGAAATCCCATCTTTTAGAAAACTTAAAAATGATTTATGAAAGTATTAAGGTGTCCTACAACTTACAGAGCACCTCTCCTCCTTAGCCCTGCTGTTCCAGACAAACCCATGTTCGTGCTTCCAAAGCCCTCCTCCCACACAGTCCAGTTCACAAGCCCGTGCCTTGAGCAGGCTTGTCAACACTTTCTCCCTCTGTCATACATCAGCTTTCTTAAAAAATCCCAACTATAGTCATGGATGTCACTGATACCTTCCCACTAGATTACGGGCTCTGAGACGGGTGTTAAGTTGGCCATTGTGGTTTATCCCACACACTCGGGGAACTCCGCTGTTATAAAACTAGGGTGAATAAAGCCGGGTTTCAGAAAGAGAAGCCACCCCATCAGGGTCTTCTGCCCCTTTCCCAGCCACCTCCATCCCTTCAGAACTTTCATATGATCAGGATGAAGGGTAACAAGGCAACCATTCTTCAGTTTAAAAAAAAAAAATACATTTTCCTTTAGTGTCAGATCCCCGTAAGTGTTGTGAGAGCAAGACCTGTTCTGTTCCCTCCACACCATCAACGTTGTCTAACAGAGAGAACACGGGGATGGATGGGGAAGACTGCATTCTGTGTGTGAGTCATGGGCCGAGCACAGAAGGAGCAGCCCTAGTTATGTCTCTGGTTCATCACTTTCGTGGTGGCATCACAGCCCAGCCATCCTCTCCTTTTCCCTCTGCCTTTCCCCCTATTTCTCTCTTTTTCTCTCTTTTTTCTCCAGAGTTTAGCTTAGACAAGCCCTCTTGCACCTAGGACCTGTGAGTAGCCAAGTGGTGCGCTCATGGGAAGCTCAGGCCTGAGGACCCCGGCACACAGGACTCACCCAGAGCTTGCTGCTTCCTCGCCAGCCCCAGCTCCCCGCTGCTGGCACTGAGCCCTGTGGAGGGAGATAGGGGCACCACAGGCTGGCACAGCAGTGCATCGCCCCTCTCCACAGGCGGGTGCAGCAGTGCATCGCCCCTCTCTACAGGCCGGCACAGCAGTGCATCGCCCCTCTCTACAGGCTGGCACAGCAGTGCATCATCGCCCCTCTCCACAGGCTGGCACAGCAGTGCATCGCCCCTCTCTACAGGCCGGCACAGCAGTGCATCGCCCCTCTCCACAGGCTGGCGCAGCAGTGCATCGCCCCTCTCTACAGGCTGGCACAGCAGTGCATCATCGCCCCTCTCTACAGGCTGGCACAGCAGTGCATCGCCCCGCTCTACAGGCTGGCACAGCAGTGCATCGCCCCTCTCCACAGGCTGGTGCAGCAGTGCATCGCCCCTCTCCTCAGGCTGGCACAGCAGTGCATCGCCCCTCTCTACAGGCAGGCGCAGCAGTGCATCGTCCCTCTCCTCAGGCTGGCGCAGCAGTGCATCGCCCCTCTCTACAGGCTGGCACAGCAGTGCATCGCCCCTCTCTACAGGCTGGCACAGCAGTGCATCGTCCCTCTCCTCGGGCTGGCGCAGCAGTGCATCGCCCCTCTCTACAGGCTGGCACAGCAGTGCATCGCCCCTCTCCTCAGGCCGGCGCAGCAGTGCATCGCCCCTCTCCTCAGGCCGGCGCAGCAGTGCATCGCCCCTCTCCTCAGGCCGGCGCAGCAGTGCATCGTCCCTCTCCTCAGGCCGGCGCAGCAGTGCATCGCCCCTCTCCACAGGCCGGCGCAGCAGTGCATCGCCCCTCTCCACAGGCCGGCGCAGCAGTGCATCGTCCCTCTCCTCAGGCCGGCGCAGCAGTGCATCGCCCCTCTCCTCAGGCCGGCGCAGCAGTGCATCGCCCCTCTCCTCAGGCCGGCGCAGCAGTGCATCGCCCCTCTCCTCAGGCCGGCGCAGCAGTGCATCGCCCCTCTCCTCAGGCCGGCGCAGCAGTGCATCGCCCCTCTCCACAGGCCGGCGCAGCAGTGCATCGCCCCTCTCCTCAGGCTGGCGCAGCAGTGCATCGCCCCTCTCCTCAGGCTGGCGCAGCAGTGCATCGCCCCTCTCCTCAGGCTGGCGCAGCAGTGCATCGCCCCTCTCCTCAGGCTGGCGCAGCAGTGCATCGCCCCTCTCCTCAGGCTGGCGCAGCAGTGCATCGCCCCTCTCCTCAGGCTGGCGCAGCAGTGCATCGCCCCTCTCCTCAGGCTGGCGCAGCAGTGCATCGCCCCTCTCCTCAGGCTGGCGCAGCAGTGCATCGCCCCTCTCCACAGGCTGGCGCAGCAGTGCATCGCCCCTCTCCTCAGGCTGGCGCAGCAGTGCATCGCCCCTCTCCTCAGGCTGGCGCAGCAGTGCATCGCCCCTCTCCTCAGGCTGGCGCAGCAGTGCATCGCCCCTCTCCACAGGCTGGCGCAGCAGTGCATCGGCCCTCTCCTCAGGCCGGCGCAGCAGTGCATCGCCCCTCTCCTCAGGCCGGCGCAGCAGTGCATCGCCCCTCTCCTCAGGCCGGCGCAGCAGTGCATCGCCCCTCTCCTCAGGCCGGCGCAGCAGTGCATCGTCCCTCTCCTCAGGCCGGCGCAGCAGTGCATCGCCCCTCTCCTCAGGCCGGCGCAGCAGTGCATCGCCCCTCTCCACAGGCCGGCGCAGCAGTGCATCGCCCCTCTCCACAGGCCGGCGCAGCAGTGCATCGTCCCTCTCCTCAGGCTGGCGCAGCAGTGCATCGTCCCTCTCCACAGGCTGGCGCAGCAGTGCATCGCCCCTCTCTACAGGCTGGCGCAGCAGTGCATCATCGCCCCTCTCTACAGGCTGGCACAGCAGTGCATCGCCCCGCTCTACAGGCTGGCACAGCAGTGCATCGCCCCTCTCCACAGGCTGGTGCAGCAGTGCATCGCCCCTCTCCTCAGGCTGGCACAGCAGTGCATCGCCCCTCTCTACAGGCAGGCGCAGCAGTGCATCGTCCCTCTCCTCAGGCTGGCGCAGCAGTGCATCGCCCCTCTCTACAGGCTGGCACAGCAGTGCATCGCCCCTCTCTACAGGCTGGCACAGCAGTGCATCGTCCCTCTCCTCGGGCTGGCGCAGCAGTGCATCGCCCCTCTCTACAGGCTGGCACAGCAGTGCATCGCCCCTCTCCTCAGGCTGGCGCAGCAGTGCATCGCCCCTCTCCTCAGGCTGGCGCAGCAGTGCATCGCCCCTCTCCTCAGGCTGGCGCAGCAGTGCATCGTCCCTCTCCTCAGGCTGGCGCAGCAGTGCATCGCCCCTCTCCACAGGCCGGCGCAGCAGTGCATCGCCCCTCTCCACAGGCCGGCGCAGCAGTGCATCGTCCCTCTCCTCAGGCCGGCGCAGCAGTGCATCGTCCCTCTCCTCAGGCCGGCGCAGCAGTGCATCGCCCCTCTCTACAGGCTGGCGCAGCAGTGCATCGCCCCTCTCCTCAGGCTGGCGCAGCAGTGCATCGCCCCTCTCCTCAGGCCGGCGCAGCAGTGCATCGCCCCTCTCCTCAGGCCGGCGCAGCAGTGCATCGCCCCTCTCCTCAGGCTGGCGCAGCAGTGCATCGCCCCTCTCTACAGGCCGGCGCAGCAGTGCATCGTCCCTCTCCTCAGGCCGGCGCAGCAGTGCATCGTCCCTCTCCTCAGGCCGGCGCAGCAGTGCATCACCCCTCTCTACAGGCTGGCGCAGCAGTGCATCGCCCCTCTCCTCAGGCCGGCGCAGCAGTGCATCGTCCCTCTCCTCAGGCCGGCGCAGCAGTGCATCGCCCCTCTCCTCAGGCCGGCGCAGCAGTGCATCGCCCCTCTCCTCAGGCCGGCGCAGCAGTGCATCGCCCCTCTCCTCAGGCCGGCGCAGCAGTGCATCGCCCCTCTCCTCAGGCTGGCGCAGCAGTGCATCGCCCCTCTCCTCAGGCCGGCGCAGCAGTGCATCGTCCCTCTCCTCAGGCCGGCGCAGCAGTGCATCGTCCCTCTCCTCAGGCCGGCGCAGCAGTGCATCGCCCCTCTCCACAGGCCGGCGCAGCAGTGCATCGCCCCTCTCTACAGGCTGGCGCAGCAGTGCATCGCCCCTCTCCTCAGGCCGGCGCAGCAGTGCATGGTCCCTCTCCTCAGGCCGGCGCAGCAGTGCATCGCCCCTCTCCACAGGCCGGCGCAGCAGTGCATCGCCCCTCTCCTCAGGCTGGCACAGCAGTGCATCGCCCCTCTCTATGGGCTGGCGCAGCAGTGCATCGCCCCGCTCCTCAGGCTGGCGCAGCAGTGCATCGCCCCTCTCTTGGAGCAGTTTGTCAGTGCCTCTCTACTCCTTCCCTTTTCCAGGTTATCATCTGTGTATTTTTCTCCTTGTATTTTCCTCCTTCTCATTCTACTCTTACTTTTATGTTCCTGTTTCTCTGCTTTAGCTGCCTCTCCTGTATTCTCAGCCACTTCCAGTCTACCTTCCTTTCTCACATCTAGTTTTGTATTCTTGCTTCTTTTCATTGCTCTCCCAGTTCCTTTTGTCATTTCTGTGTGCCGCTTACATTTCTATATCCCTTCTTCTCTTGCAGTTCTAATTCTTCTTTCCTTGTGGGTCTTCTTCCCTCCCGCAGCAGTCCCCTTACTGTTTGAGCGCAGTGTAGAAGACTGACACTTGCAGGCCAGTGTGTGCTCAGGAAGAACACACTATGTCATTCACGGAGTCTCAGCTTTGTTTGGGGCGCCTGCCACTGAGCAGCCCTGTGCTAACCAGACTCTGGGAATGTAGTGCTGAGCCAAACACATGCAACCTTGACCTTAAGGAATCCTGCAGTACAGGAGATGATGGGAGGTAGAAAAGGAGATGAAACAACACAAATACATGAGTAAAAGGGCCGATGAGTTTTCTAAAGAAAACAAGGACTGTGTAAAGAATTGTGGTTTTGTGGGGTGTTCCAGACCCTTACAAAATAATGACATTAAGCTAAGACTCAAAAGATAAATAAGCAAGCCAGGCAAAGAGTAGAAGAGTATTTCTGAAGAGCAGTAATTGCAGCAATGGGCTCAGGGCAACCCAGCAACCTGTAGGAGACCAGCATGGCTGTGCTGGGCGGGTAGGAGATCACGGGAGCGCTGGGAAGGCAGGGCCAGCTCCTGAGGACACCTGCAGGCCAAATTTAAAACTCACAGTATTCTGAACATGACAGGAGGATTTTAAATGGGAGCTTGAGATAATTATATTTTTAAATTATCACTCTGGGAGCTTGGCAAATGGATTGTAAGCTAGGATAAAGATGGAAACAGGTCCAGTGTCTCATGCAGTAATCCAGGCAGGAAAAGAACAGAAAAGGGCCTCAGGACATTGTCAGTGGAGCTCAAGATGAAAATGAGGACAGATGGAGAAAAATGGACCTCTTTGCGCACCTCCCTCCCAGCTCAGTGCATTGTGCCTCCCTTCAGTGTAACCTGAGCTGTTAGGCTGTGAGTGGAACTCTAGATACGGGGGAGAGAAAATTTAGAGGGTGGAAGACAACACGGAACCCGGGGGGAGCAGCCACAACCAGACTCCTCAGCTGCCTTAGGAAACTGAGGATGCAGGGAGCTAGGCGCAGGGCCGGGAGCTGGGTTCGGGATGGAGAGGGTTAGAGGAGAGCTAAGGGGCCACCTGCACCAGCCCCGCCCAGCATCTGGTTAGCAGGCCGCACCTCGCCCTGCCCGCCAGCCAGACCCTCCCCAGGGCCCCGTGTGCCCTCCTCAGTGCCGCCTGCGCTGTGCTGCCCAGCCCCCTCCCTGAGGTGTCCTTGTCTCTCTTTCCTACCAATATTCCGTCCTACCTACTTCTTCCTGGCTGCTTGGAACTGAGCACCTTTGCCCTTCAATGCCCTTCCATCACCTTTCCACTTGGGAACCAGGAAGCCGTCAGCAAACCCTCGAAAGAGTCTATGAGCTGAAATAAACATTGCTGCTTTTAACTTTCAGGTATGAAATGTTCTGACCCATCCACAGGAAGTGACTAATACAGTCCAATTCAGTCTGTTAATGAAAGACTTCAATACTGAGTCCTGGGCAGTATTTCTTCCTTCACTGAGCTGGGATCTGGTATAAAGTTACCTTCCTTTTGCAAGTGGTGGTAAAGAATGCAGTTGATCTGTATCCTGATGAGTTACGTTGCACCTAACACCTCACAGGGGAGCACAACAGCAAGTTGCCGTGTAACATGTATATGAAAATTTCTACCTTGTAATAATCATATGTTTGTTTATTTATGGTAAAACTCTGAGAAGATACACATTAAATTGTAATAACAGTTACCTTTGAAAGAGGAGTCGGGCATGAGAGAGTGACCTTCATTTCTTGCTTTACACTCCTTTGTATTATTTGAAAGTTGGTGACAAAAATGTTACATTTCAAGTTTTAAACTCCAACCGTATAAGTATCATATTTGCATATCGGTTTATTGTTTGTCTCGTCTCACTGGGATGTAAACTGAATACAAACAAGAACTTTATCCTCTCCTTGTTGTTCTCACTGTGATTAGAGCAGTGCCTCGCACACAGGAAGGGTCCAGTATTTTTTTAATGAGGGCCAAATCTATTGTTAAAGAAATTTAACAGCATCTGTCTTCCACATCCTCCTCCCCACCCTGTGTGTCCTTAATAGTAAACCGACTGGGAGCCCAGGAATCCGCGGCTCCTTGCCTCTCCCCACATCATTGGTTTCTGTGGTAAACAGGCTAAAAACCCAGGAGGCCCCACCTATAATTGTGATTAAGCCTGCTAAATTCAAAATTATTACATGATAAGCTTCAAGTAACAAAGAATGATTTATTTTAAAAGAGAAATTTTGATATAAGTTTAAAGGTAATGCATTTAAGATACAGAAGCTAAAGCGTTTTAACCGTCCTTTTGTTTTACTGGAGAACCAGCATACAGCAGTACAGAGGATATGCATGATCTTTAGGATGTAGGAGCTGTCTCACCTTTTCTGCATCAAGATGTCCCCAAAGTGTGGAAGGCACTGGCAGAGAAACCAGTTAGGCCAAAGAGCTTGATGGTCTCCACTTCTATGCAAAGAGGGAAGGAGAAGGCGGACTCAGCAGTCGTATAACCCGGCGGCACAGCTGTAGGCTCAGGAGCCTCGTGCCTTGCCCTGTACCAGGTGTGGTCTATTAAGTTAGTGTCTTCATTTTCTTTGCAACAGCAAGCTACTGTAAGTGGTAGGGCATAGTCTGGCAGTGGCCAAGCAGAGTGATGCTCAGGAAACTCTCAGGGAAGAATATAAATGCACATTATTACTCTTTAACTAATAGAAACTAACGGGAATAAAATGCAAATAATCTAAAAAAAAAATTCCACTGCAACCCCTGATTCCTTTATAACTGTGATCTTTATTAGCAAAAGAGAGATCTATCATCTTTGCCTTAAATTGTGGTGGTAGCTTAAGGTGAGTTCATATAATATGGGTTAAAGTTAAATATTTTATTTTTAAAAGTTCATAAAAGCCTGTAAGAAGAGAAGTGTTATGAATTTCATGAATATTTACAGAGAAATAAGATGTAACTTGAAGCAGTGAGAAAGTAAGAGATATCTTCAGTTTTAGCTTTATTCTGTCGCATATTGTCAGTTTCAAGGATCAGAAAATAATAAACATAGCAATAAAGAGTGAATTCAGAAATAGCTCAAGCCTGAGCCCTCCAGGCCAGCTGGGAAATTTCTAGGGGACATTCACATGTCACAGAGAATAAAATTGTAAGCCTGAAGAAAAAACTGGAGAGGGATGAACTATAACCTTTAGAAAGATCACTGAGGTAGGAGTTGGGAGAGATACAAAATTTTAAGCAATATCTTAAGGTAAGAAATCACATACAAAATCTATGTGATGTAGAGTACAGACTTTGTGGTCAGAGACCTGGGGCCTCTGTTTCTCTGCCGTTTACTTTGGGCGAGTTATTTGCCTCTCGCAGCTCACTTTTCTGATCAATCAGTTGGGCATAAGAGGACATTGCTGTTCTGAAGAGCAGCAGCCAATAAAATTCACCTTTTAGCTTTTACGAGCTGCCTATGCTATTAAGTAGAGTACAGAAAACATACACAAATGAAAATTATTAATGTTTCTTCGACCACAAATCTGGTTTGCGTTTACATTATTTAAGGAGTTTTGTTACTATGAATGGCTCAACAAGAAACAAGACAGAGGAGTGCTCAGCCTCACTCGGTGCCTCCTGGGAGCTCCCTTGATGTTGGCGGGAATGTGGGCCCCTGTGAATGCCTGGAACTCCAGAGAACTGGCATCTCCTTTATCCCTTTCCTCACAATTCTTTCACTACTGACTAAACTGGGGAGAGATTTCAAAGACTACAGTTTTCACATCCCAAATCCTGGGACTAAGATTTGTAGCCATCCAGCCTTTATTGGGAATGTGTCAGTTTTAGCACTTTAAAGTACAGAACCCTCATTCTGTGTGCCCACAGTGGTGGTTCAGTTTTTAGGAACCTAGTTTATCTCTGTTAACCACACTCCATTTTACTTTAGAAGTGGCGCACTCTTTCCTGGTAGATTTGCTTTGTTAACACTCATGAGTCTTTTAAAATGTGATTAAAGTAAAATCTGGGCAACATAGACGGAAAGCAGAGACAGGAGTTACCCTGCCCCATAACTGGTCCAGCGCTGAGATGATTTAAGGGGTTTAAGAGAAGTATGTATGAGGCATACATGTTAAAAATGTTTACAGTAAAAGCCACATTGTTATTAATCCTCCTCAAAATACTCCCCCCTCTTCACACTTAGCCATTGTTGCCCCTTTCTGAAGAAATCCTGGAAGTCCATTTGGGTGAATGTCTCTAGTTGTGCTCTCGAAACTCCCTTGATGTACTGAACTGATTGAAAACACTTCCCTTCCCTGGTAATGTGGACCCAGAAGTGCCCCAGTGTCAGACCCTGTGACTAAGCAGAGTGGCATGCCTTGGTGTTCTGAGAGCCTGCCCGTCCCTTGGGTGGCCGGGCAGCGGCGCGAACCGTAACGTCGTCCATCACAGTCAGTGACGACTGGACAGAGGACCCCGCGCCCGCTCCAGAAGCCGGACAGTGGGATCCACGGCAATGCAGCTTCTGCTGTGCTAATGTCTTTTTTTCCCTTAAACGTTCACCATGGACGCATATCTCTGGGTGTGTCTTAGCTCTCTGTTCACAAATAGGAAAGTGAAAGAAAGAGGGGAAAAGTGGGAGAGCAGGAGAGAGACAGCAGGGACCAGCGGCAGCGCACAGGCCAGGGGTGGTGTGGTTTGTAAAGTTGGGGTGCAGTTCCCCGCCCCGGCCTTGGGGGGGCGCCATCAGCCTGCAATAGTGCTGTTGCCTTTAGGGGGTTCTGGGGGGAAGCAGATTCATCTTAAGGATGAAGAAAGAGTTCAGTGCAACCTCAGAGGACGAGCAGTGCAAGAATGAGGTGTCTACATCTCAGAGCAGAGCCCGAACGTCCTTGTTAACCCCAGCTGTGACTTCCTGCCTTGGGAGATTAAAGCTCCTTCGTTCCTCTTTAACTTTGCTGTTCTCCTTTACGTTGGAAAGAGAGAGAAACTCATTCCAGCAATGTCTCTGGGGTTCAGCACCCTCAGGAGAAAGAACTCTGCAAGGCTGCTAACAGTAGGGACGGTGACGCCGCCTCCCTGGAACTGCA